CCCCCTTCTGCTCTGAAATCAATGAAGTTATTTAAAAAAATAAATTATCTCTTTCAAAAACAAGAACAATGGACAGAGTGCACTGAAGGTGGAGACTGACCTTTGCTAAGGAGCAGGACTAAGGCCTGGGACGTGACTGCCGCCATGACCTGCCCTGCTAGGAATTTGAGATCAGACCCTCCTGTGTGGTCACTCCAGCAACGTACTCATTTGAAATTAGACAATAGAAATGGATATTATGAGGCACAAGCCATAATTCGGCTGCTCCTGCCAGCAAGCAAGGTCATAGAGGCACGCGGAGTTTCCATGGCACTCCCAGCGGAAAACCCAGACTCCAGTTCCAGTTTCCTGGGGGTTAAGAGACATCCCTGTAGATAGTATGAATCATGGCAAAGGCACTGTGAACCTAGAGCCTGCAGCTGTGACCACAGCGTCTCATTCCCAGCTTCCCGACGTGGGCCAGCCAGCTCCTTTGGTGAGCCAGTCTGTGGTGTGGTTCTGTCATTCATTCCTGGGAGCTCAATCAGCTCTTCCAAACCTTCTAACGATTCCCTCATATCTGGTAAGAAATCTGCTGCCAACCGGAGTAGATTCTGTTATCTGCAAGGGAACCTTGACCCATACAATTGGTAACACTTAGCGTCCATGAGGGCTCAGGAAACAGGCCCTTTCGCACCCCACTGATAGGACTCTAAGTTGATGCAATCCTTGTGATGCTTGTTGTGTCTTTAGAATTCTTACCTTTGGATCCTGTTATTCACATCGAGGGTTGAATCCCAAGGACATGATCAGAGATGCACGCAAAGGTTTGGAATACATAGAAACCATGACGATGCCTGACAGTTGTTAAAAAAGAATATTTTAAACCATAGCAAATAACAAGCAAAACTGTTCATGATGTCATGCTCAATGGAAAAGGCCATCTACACACATACATATTTCAGTGCTGTGAGTGAAATGACATGGTGCTTTCGATTTGTTTCAAGGTACTTCAGGAAGAAAAAAAAGCAGTGGAAGGAGACAGATGAAACACAACTGGCAAAATGTGGATGACTGCTGCAGCCAGGTGTTGGGCACATGGAGATTCATTGTAGTTTTCTATCCTATTTTATTTTATTTATTTTTTTAATCCTCTCCCAAGAATATTTTTCCATTGATCTTTAGAGAGAGTGGGAGAGAGAGGGAAAGACAGAGAGCAACATTGATGTGAGAGAAACACAAAGATTGGTTACCCTCAGCATGAGCCCTGACCAGGGTCTGGGTCAGGGAGGAGCCTGCAACCCAGGTATGTGCCCTTGACCAGAATCAAACGTAAGACCCTTCAGTCCACTGAGCCAAACTGGCTAGGGCACCCTTTTTTAGGTGTGTCTGAGAATTTCCATAATATAAACTCCTAAAAGTTTAAAAGGAAAATGAAACAGAAAATAAAATTGCATGCATAGTATATGCCCGGTTTTATTATAATATGAACATACCCCCACACACACATAAAAGAGAGACTAAAAACTAAGCCCAGATGAAAAGATCAGGGGTCGCCAGGGGTTGGGGGGGATGGAGGAAGGGGTGACTAGGCAGAGCACCCAGGATCGTTAGAGCAGTGAACCTATTCTGTACGACACTGTAACTGTGGACACGTGACATTATACCTTGGTCAAACCAAGAGGTAACCCTAATGTCAACGATGGACTCTGGGTGATAATGATGCCGATCTAGGTTCATCAATTTTCAGAAATATCCCACTCCGGTGAGGGATGCTGATAATGAGGGAAGCTGAGCATGTCTGGGGGCAGAGGGTATATGGGAAATCTCCATTTCTTCCATTGGAATTGGCTGTGAATTGAGAACTGCTCTAAAAAATAACTCTATTTTTAAAAAATACATCAAAATGTGAATAGAAGTTATCTCTGAGTGGTGAGATTAGCCTGATGCTAACTTGCTGAAATGTCTCTGTGTTGTTATCAATATGTGTATTATGAATGGATATACATATAATTATATATATACTAGAGGCCTGGTGCACAAAAACTTGTGAACTGGGGGGGGAGGGGATCCCTCAACCCGGCCTGTGCCCTCTCACAGTCTGAGACCCCTCGGGAAATAATGACCTGCTGGCTTAGGCCTGCTCCCGGGTGGCAGAGGGCAGGCCCAATCCCTAGGTGCAGCCCCTGGTCGGGCTCAGAGCAGGGCCAATTGGGGAGTTGGGGTGCCGCCCCCTGTCATGCACAGAGCAGGGAGATTGGGAGGTTGTGATGCCACCCTCAGTCACGCTCAGGGTAGGGCCGATTGGGGGGTTGCGGCGCCACCCCCTGTCACACACAGAGCAGGGCCAATCAGGGGGTTGGGGC